GCCTCTTTGAAGTCCCGGAAAATCGAGATTTTCTGGCAGTGGTCACGTGGTCTTACTCAAGAAGTTTACCAACGCTTCTACTGATAGGAATAAATTAAGCTTATCGCTCTTAGATTCGCGGATCACGGTACAAGGTTAGGCGCCAAAAGTATCACTGCACCCAGTGGTCATGTAATAACCAGCTTATGCCTCTATGAAAGAGGCACTTTTTCGAGTGGAGGTATACTTATTTATTGATCAGCAATCCGATGACGCCACAAGCCAGGGAAGGCATATCAGTGCCTTATAAATTGATGGGGAATCGTGACTTACCGATCACGACCACGGTCGGGTGGGTCGAATGAAGGACACTGGTAGGGACACAGAAGACCTCCTAACCTGACGTTGAACGGAATCGGACGAGTCAGCTAGGCGAACGCTTTAGATCAGATAACACACTTTTACTGCTATCTCTGAATAACCCATTGGGAAATCGTTCTTCCGGTTATGTATTGCAGATTGACTGAATTACGTACCATGTAGCCCCTGCCATGCCAATCTTCACCATTAACTAAACATTATGGTTGTGTCACTCTGTCCACAGATTCTGTCTTAGCTGACGACCAACAGACCGTTTAACTAAGCTGCTCTAATTCTGGAAGGACACGTAACTTCGAATCAAAGAATGAACCTAGGAAGCATTGATCATTATGCGAATGCTCAATAACACCATCATCAGAGTTCCAGGCCTCACATGTAGTATCGAATACCTTAGTTCAGTCACGATCAACGACTTCCACGAAGGTAAACTGAAGGATATCGTATGGCAGATCGGCATGTTACATTTGTGGTTCAAGAAACTGTATCACCGCCAAATGAGAAACTTGTTTCTTAAGCTTACTTGACAATTTACCATAACCCGTGTTCGCTGTAAGCAATCCTGGATATTATCTCCGCAGTCATACCCATTTTCAACTGTCATGAAGAACCAGCTAGAGCGTTCCTTGTTGAGGTTTTCTACAATAGTTCTGTATTTCAGTAGTCCAGTAGTAGTGGTAGTTCAGTGCTGAATGTCTTACTTCGACGGTACAAGAAACAAAGCGACAGAATACAACGATGAGACGATTTTAGTACACTGCAATACATTACAGTGTAATAGTATACAATACAATACAATACAATACAATACAATACAATACAATACAATACAATACAATACAATACAATACAATACAATACAATACAATACAATACAATACAATACAATACAATACAATACAATACAATACAATACAATACAATACAATACAATACAATACAATACAATACAATACAATACAATACAATACAATACAATACAATACAATACAATACAATACAATACAATACAATACAATACAATACAATACAATACAATACAATACAATACAATACAATACAATACAATACAATACAATACAATACAATACAATACAATACAATACAATACAATACAATACAATACAATACAATACAATACAATACAATACAATACAATACAATACAATACAATACAATACAATACAATACAATACAATACAATACAATACAATACAATACAATACAATACAATACAATACAATACAATACAATACAATACAATACAATACAATACAATACAATACAATACAATACAATACAATACAATCAATACAATACAATACAATACAATACAGATAAAACACTAGGTGAACAAACTCAGTAGTATATTGTGCATGACGAACTTACGCGCAGCTCTGGTCCGCACACAGGTCAGAGATTGCTTGTTTGAATTTTTGCGTTTCAAACATCTCATCTGATGGGTGATCAAGTGAAAGTGAGAGTGGTTCGGTAAACACCGTCTGTGTTCCAACGGAGCCTGAAATTTGACGAACGGTAAAGGGGGAGGGGGTGGTTAACAGAAAGGAAAACCGAGAACACAACTTACAGCATTGGCTTAAGCAAGAACCGGTTGGAGGAATGCTAAGATCCTCAACCCGGACTGAAAGCTTGGAAAATAAGGATGAAACAAATTCTAGACAAATTATCGTACACTGCGAACATCATAAGGAAACTAACTTTCAAAGTATACATGAAACGCCAAAGCTGTGAGTAAGTGATCAAATGCGCAGTGCTGTGTTTCGGTTTCTCTAGTTCTTATGGTTCTAAAACATTCTCACCAATAACAGAGTGCTCAAAGCACCAACCAACTTGAAGGCACGGATGACCAGAAACCGAGGAAAATCCGGGCACAGCAACCTCAGAAGCGAGAAGAATTCATCTGCTGTTAAGTCTAAGGGGAAAACAGCAGCAGTACAGAAAGAAAGAATCAACGACATACTTTGGTGCCGCAATGGCTGATAGAACTTCCAGATGGTTGAAAGAAACGAGATGCGGTTGTGATTTGTCAAAACAACATAATCATACTCGCGAAATACGGTATGAGTTCCCTTTTTCACCAAACGGAAACTGCAGATGTAATGATGGACGCTTGTAGACTTGATCATTACTAGTTTGCTAAGAAAGTTCTTGTGTCCACATGGCAATTCATATCATGAGCAAGCAGCAGTTGATTTAGGGCATCTTGCAAATATGCTTTAATATCATGGTAGGCTATGTGACGATCAAAAGTGATGTGGCAAGTACCCAAATACTGTAAACCTTCAGTTAATTGCTCCATTCTGCAGGCCGTTTTAAGAAGTGGGGCACCTGGAAAGGGAAAGGAAACGAGGCCGATTATCACTGACGTTGGTGAAGATAGGTTAGCTCCAGAATGGCCGGTATAAAACATAGCACCATTGTAGGCCGTATCGCAGAAACTAGATTTTTCACCTCCCATTGATGACGGGGTTAGTACCAAATGGTGGCTTCACCACATTTGAGCTTGGTCTGACGCAAATGTCACCTGCGACTCCATGAGACGGTAGTCCGTATCTGGTACACCGGTCGGATCTAGAGACAACCATCAAACTCCGGCCTCTTTAGGCCAAAGAAAATCACAAAATGATCGATCTGACATATTTGGATCCCTTGGATATGGTTGGGTTACTGTTTTACTCCAAGACAAACGGTGTTTGACAGGCAACAGGAGTGGAAAAAAACACCGATCGATGGACCGGGAGTCACGCATAGCTTATTAGCAACTGAGAAGGGAGAACTTCAAACTGGATTGTCTATCTCAACCGGTACATTGGATGCGATCCAAGGGCTGATGGAGGTCCTGTACTCTAAACACCATTAAGGTTGTACAAGGATAACATCACTGACTTCCATCTAGTGTGTGACGCATAGGTCTGCCACTCGTGTCTATCAGAATGGGACAGCAAACGGTTTCTTATGAGCTGTACATAGAGGATGCTGTACACTATAGAAAGTAATTACCTTACTGCAATTCACTTGGCAATAGAAGTGGCGGTTCTAATCATTTTCCACTCTAGTCAAACACCACTGTGTCGGTTTAACGTCATAGCATAACCTATGGTCGTAATGTGCACGTGTGTTATCCTGTGGAGTGTCTCTGTCCGTCCTGAACACTGCAGTGGTCCTCTCGTCGTGCTTAAAAATATGCTCAGTGGGAAGCTACCTGCTTCTGGACCCCAACATGTGGAGGCGAAAAAGCACGGCAAGCAATAACTTTGATATCTTCGGTTGACGTTTCCGAATCTTCTCGTGAAAGTGGCAGTTCTTTGCACACAAACTAATCGGCCCGAAGACTATACCCAAATCATTTGTTCACCTGAAAAAATTGCCCTAGTGGCACTATGTTGTCGGGCGCAAACTGACAGTTCGCAAGCCATTTTCGGTCGAACGACCGGACAGGGCACCAGTACTTAAACTGTTTACCTTCTGTAACTGTTTCACATCCCATGAGATAAGGCAAACGCTCAACTGATGATGCTTCCGGTCTGTCCGCCTACTCGCTGTCAACATTTTGCTTGCATTCGGCTATCGTAGCATGACCATCACAACTTAACGGTGAAATGCATGTATACCAAAGCTGATCAATAACTTGGCAGTTAACGGATAAGTGGGAACCTTCGTAATATTAACTAAAAGGTTGCTGAAGGCACTTTGACAACCCAATACGTTTTATTCTTCTGGGGGTTCATCAAGCAGGCGTGGTCCATGAGTTCCTACCAACCCTATTTCCCACAGAAGTAACTACAAAACTGAATCTGTATGGCAGTAATTTCGCCTAAAAAATCTACTGCAGTCCAAATCGAACACTTTATCGATCGGAAACACCTATTTTTCGCCTCACATCTGTCGACTTTTATCCTACGTCTACCATGGGCATTCGCTAAATTTTGCTAACTCCAACTTCACAATTACCTACAATCCGAGAAGGTTACCTACGTCGTGATGACAGCTTATTCCTAACGTTATGTTTTGATTTTAAACAGTTCATATACTTTCAAATCAGCACGCATGATGAATGGTAACCAGAGTTCAGCATCAAAAGTGGTGAATCGGCAACATTCTTTCCAACTCGCAGTCGAAATGAACACCAAAACAAATTCCATTAAATGCGCTGTCTTTGACTTTAAACCCAATCCTTAACAAGCGGCGAACTGAAGATTATGCAAACGCCTTCACGTATTTCGATCAGGTTCTGCCCATATACAGATCACACAGAAGACGGTGTGAGCGATTCATCAGCCCACTCGAGATATCCTTGAGATTGGGACTTCAAGACTGACTGGGTGCAAAAGATGCTAGTATCTAACGCGTCTAACCGGAATGCAGCAGAGCTAGCGAGGAAAACGTCAGAATCATTACCCACACCCTATTATCCTGATGGTAGTATGCTGGTGAAGGACACGGTTTACAGCGCGTTAGTCTGCCTTTGTGAAGCTCAGCAGAATCCAGTCGGCCCTCGAAACTGCGTTCCGGTAAATCATTGCACACAGCAGTAACTGGGTTAAAATGCACCATTCTTCGGAACACACTGCTAACTCTTCGACGGCCCATGGCTGGTTGAACCCTTACTGGGGCGTAGTCCCCGAGCATCCGCCAACCTTGTATACCAAATTGTAAGCAATTAGCGAAATACGATCATTTGCACACCAATTAAATTTTGCCAAGAGAATCAAATGAATCCCAACTGAATCTCTCGTTTACGGTATTTTTTATCATCTTAATCTGAAAATCAAAAGGAAATAAACTTCGATATCAGGAGGAGCGTGCAAAGTGAAACATGATGCAACCTTTGTGGAGCACATTTAGCTGAAGGATACAATGAAAGAGAGATTGAGCGGGGGATTCAGCTGAGTCTCGCATTACCATCATGTTGGTTTGTAAATGAGTGTGATTCGCAAAACAGGTGGATCGATGTAGTGAAGTGAGTCCACACAGCCACATTTGGTGACACAAGCCTTAAGTAGACGAAGATATCCTGATAGCAGTTCAGATACCAAGAACTTGCTTGTAGATACAATATAGGTAGCAACTGAGATCGAATTGGACTGCAATTGCCAAGAACGCAAACACGATAGCGGTGAAATCGGTTTCAAACTTTTGATACAAAAGGCGGGAGGCATGAGAAAAGAGAGGCGATTGTAAACAAATTTATCGAAATTGTGCCATACACACCGGGGTGTAATAAGTTAGACTGGGGGTAAAATTTGAGTTATCACAGAATGAGGGTAGTGTCAAACGGGAAAAACGCCTCACGTTTTTCATGTACAAGCGATTTCCGGCGGTTGTAGTGCGAGACCGTCCGACTTGCGAATCACATCAGCCTTTAATGGCTGGTTGGCAAAATGTTGTAAGAAATCTCTCAAAACGAGATACATTGCCGGATACTGTCGCTGTTGTCGTATTTGCACCTGTGATAAAGAGACACATCGTGATAAGTTAGGCGGTTAGCCTGGGAATGCCAGCACGTACGTCAAAACGTGCCATCTATATAAACAGTAAAATAAGAAAGTCAGAGCAACATAGCAGCACAAAATCATTCCCAAGATATTACAAGTTCTGGCAAAGGATTTCATTCAATCAGGGGTAACGAATTGTCAACAGAAAAAAACATCTGCCGCTCTAGTGTTCACTGCTTCGAACAAACAGCCCACGGATGACTGTGATTCAGTCTAGGAAATGTCCGCGGGACTAACCGAAATCGCTTGCACGTGATCCTATTACTACCCCTTATGGGTTATTCTGTCAACATCTGTTCTGATTCACGGTACGAATGAATGAAGAGAACACAACAAAATGAAAAAAAGTGTGCGAATGAGATGAAAAGACACCAGGGAAAAGGCTCAGATACTTCTAGAATTTCGATGTCAATAACTTTCATTGCAGATGAGACATCGGTCTGATCAATATTAACTTTTTCTCTCATGATATGTCGCACCACTAGAGTTGGACCTCCGTCTGACGACGAGCATCCATTTTCGACAGGGAGTGGCCGGTTGCTGCTGCCACACTAGACGATAAGAACCAGATGAGGAGATAATGACATCGGTAAAGCTCAATGCTGGGCAATTTCAGGGAGATTCGATGCGTGAAACAACCAACGTAAGTTACTGGGTCGTGGTTCGATGCGTCGGGCTTTCCGCTCACATCACTCAAGTGCGAACATGTTCATCTGTTCAGACGTAACAATTCAGATGCGTCCAGCGTAAGGTAGTGGTAACACGCTTTCTTAGCATGTCAGATATGCGGAGTTTAAATCCCTCCACGGCCATTGGATATGCACTGCAGAGCTCCAATAAGAACGAAACTCGAGTCCATTGCTTCCCCCCTTCAGTGTGGATGATTGGGTCGGGACAGTAGGACAATTATTCAAACGAGAGTCACGTGGGTGTTTATTCTACAAATCCCGCAACCACCAACTAAATAAATAATCGTCCAAATGCAAGACCCTTTCGGTGCCTAGCTATCACGCTACCCGGAGGAGACAAGAGGGATGATATATTTTCGGGTTATCCAAGTCTATAGAGAACGATCAAGATGCCCGGGTTGGGTTCGAACCACGGACCTTCCAGTCAGTAACCTCGTGTCTTCACCACTGAACTATCTTCGTATGAACGCCGAAAAAAACAATTCTCCTTCAGCCACTACACGGGTAGACACTCGATTGTGCGTTGGTCTATTGTCGACCAGTCGTACACTACCTCCAGGCAGTGTCACGAAGTTGCACGACCACGACAAGTCAGAAGACACCTTAGTTTTACGCTGATGACCAAGGTGAACTACGAAGAAGCAGGAATCGAATTGTTGGCCACATAAACACTTTATTTGAACATAGATCTAGTGATGGTTAGTCCATCGATTAAAAAGCGTAAATGCCACCGAAAAAGCAAAATGCCGTGGAAAGATGCAACCTTGATCCATATTAAGTAAATTATCAATGCAATCAAAGCAACAAAAACTCACCTCATGTGCATAGGCAGCCAGTCCGTTGCGCAGAAAAGTTAATCTCTCCGATTCATCTGATCGAGCTAACACCCAGGAAATATATCGTGTGGTCGACCAACCGGCAGTATCATGAGGCGAGCGAATCTCGTCTGGTGCTCGACTAAACAGGTGTTGACACACGAGACTTGGAGGAAGTTGGATGATGTCCAGAGTTGGTTCGGTTTTTTGTTGCATATAAGCCTAGAAGGACCGGAAACAGAAGGATCACACGCTTTCTGGGGATTTTAGAGAGATGTAAGCATTGGAAACCTCAAAAGCCACAGTAACAGGGCCAAGAGGCGAGAAGGTATTATCAGCTACAGTGTTAGGGGACTTCAAACGAGAGTTACCGGTAGACCCGTCTAGAAACTCCACAGATCTTTCCCAGGAATAGCATTTACAAGTTATGAGGATAGAGGTCGTTCAGCTGTAACACCCTTCCGGTGCCCAGCTGCCATGCCACCCGAAGGAAGCACGAGGGCTATCTTAATAAAATTTTCCACAACATTAAGTGCTTCTCCTTGAATAGAATTTGGCACGTTCAGAGTGTGCACGTTCTGAAGCGACTTTGCAATTTGCAGGTGCAAGGTGCATGCCGAAAGATGGTATGAGGGTGGTTAGTTTATTCAACAAAACTTATGCCTAGCCTTCGTCTTCAAAGATGAGGACGCCGTTTCAAGGCAGAAAGGTCTGTTAGCCATTTAGAAACTGAAGGACAGTATAAACTCACAGATAACGGCCCGAGTTGAGCGGATCGAAGGAAAGACAGACATAAGTAAATGGCGCACGTAACGGTAGTCTAAGATATTCGGCTAAGCCTCGAACTTCCCAGTATTATCATTGATGACCTCAATAACAACCGGCTGCTATCCCACTCTGTGCATCGGATGAGGCAGTTTCCGAACGAACCCAACTGCACCAGCTATCCGTGCTCCGAAGGTCCCTGGATAGCACTAAGTTCTTCTGTCCGCACACAGGTTGCGTTCAAGCTGATGTTTAGCGAACATTTTGACGGAATCGAGGACCGACAGCAATTGGAAGAAATAGTAGCCAAGAAGAATCGGGAGTCAGGAACATAGCCTTTCCATTGGCAGATAATGGTCATGTTATAAATCTAGGTCCAAGATTGCTCATCAGTAGGAAGACGCCGGGTGGTTCAACGGTGTCTATCGCATCTGAACACAGTACTACTGCTGATTAGTACAAATCTGAAAAAGTCGACCAGCTTCGTGTCTTGAGTCCAAGCTGAACAGATCGATAAGCCGTGTCCCTAATGAGCCAAGGCGTTCAACTTGTGTATTGGGGCCCCGTACGATTAGGAGAGTAATGCGTAATGAGATTAGTGAGTTTGCAACAAAATATACCTTCTGACGAAACGGAATTATACTTGGTCAGTTTGTATGCGAAAACCACAAATGAAGAACCGGTTTCTAGGGGAGTTGATATGTGGAAAGCACATAGGAGGTTATTTGTGGGGAGCCGATCAAGTGACGAAGCCCAACCATGGAAACCGAGAGCCACACCAAAGTCGGCAAAGCCGCTGCAGTAGTCACTTCACATGCCAATCGACAAGAAAAACCGGGGCAAGTTCAAATCGAGCGAACGTGCAAAAATGACGAACCCTCAGTATTTGATCGGAGTCGGCCAAGAGGACCGGTCGGAATGCTCGCAGTTTCATACAGGCTTCGGGGGCAAAAGAAACCAGGGCACCTTCTGTGGCGGACGACAGGAGAGGGGACACAGCTAGTTCAAACTCCACACAGTCGGCGGCCAAACGGATTCGTCCAACTTCACTCACTGGGCGAACAAGACTAATATTATTCAGGAACATGTCTATCCATCGGGTCATGTACGGTAGAACGGATGATTGCAGCGCTACGTCACCACATGAGAAGCATCCAGCCTTCGGAACAGATGACGGCGCGCGGTCCGTAGATGGCGGCAATGATAGACCGGAAAGATATTGCTTTCGAGCCCTGGAAACGAAATCCTGGCGCAGAGCAATAGAAAAAAACAAATGCTTGCTAGAAGATGACGTTAAAGGAACCACAGAAACAGCTAGAGAGTAGAAAGAGAGGGAGTAGAAAATTATTTAGTCCGCTTCGAGGTTAAGTCAACCGACACATTCTTCAGTTTGTCTAGAGATCCCATGAGATTCCATGAAAAGGCCTTTTAAAGGCCTTTTACATGTTACCTAACGGGATGTTAACAGTGTGAAAAATGTGCGAGTTGAATAGATGATCGTGGCTGGGGTAAGACAGAACAACAGGACTCCGATGGAACAGGTAAATAAATACACGAGGGATTCGAAGGCCAAACTGAGATGCAGCTGGAAATAATGTTCAACTCATGGATTGTATTAACGGAATTCACACCACTATTCACCGCATACAAAACTTTGTGGGGGTATCGCTTCAGTTTCGTAGATCCCACCGGATTCCTTTTCAAGGCCAGTACAACGAGGTACCAAGCATCACATACAAATAATCTGTCGGAAAATCATGAGCATCTATTCGCTCACAGACAGGAGTCAGCTGCGCCAGAATGGTTGAGTTGACGGAGAAACGTCGATATGCCGGAAAAGTAAGCAACACTGTGGTACTATGATGACCCGGGTATCGGTCCGCGCACAACAGATGCGGGGAATGAGATGATCCGATTTATGTATCAAAAATGCACCCAGTTATTTTTCCACATCTTCGATTATTAACCAACTTTAATATATCCCAAACGATTATCAAAACATTTTATATGATACTCTAAGGTCAACTGGTGTCGACTGAGCCTGCAACGTTACAATACAGCCGAATATTTTCATTCCTAAGTCTTGGTTTAAAACATTCTTCGTTTTTATGGTAGTTTACTTTTGTCGACTTTGATACTCCAAGTAATTCTTCAAGTGTTTTCATGAGTAACCATTCATTAATCGCGAAGTACCCTTATTACATTTGTTTTCCGAACAATGACCAGAACCGAATAGGACAATTTAAGTGTACCTACTTGGAATTTTTCAACTCACAGCACAGCACTGAAAGTACACCGATGGATACAGTAATCAGGCGCACGGGAACTGATACTGGACACACTCCTCTATGGCTAGTAGACGACTGTGCAGTATGTGCTATTCTACTAACACCTCTTTTGGACTGGTTCATCAGATAAGCACACCGTGGCATCTATCTCCATTTTTCTCGGATTTGCATCACATATGTCCGATATACTCGACGTGAGTAGGTGGCCGCTCCATTCTGGCACAAAATACTATAACATGACATGAGATAATCATCGAATATGTGTGATCCAAAAGTGCACGAAACACGTTGTGCCTTCATCCGTCCACTGAGTAACATAGCAACGCGGCCCTATGTTGAACAGGATGCCACACTCGTAGACAGACGGCTTGATAACTAGATTTGGGCAAACGACAGGTTAAGTTTGAAGAACGTTTGTGAGAAACAAACACTCGATTCAGGAAACCGATAATTTACTTTGTTCGAGTTGTGGAATGTAAAAAAGGAGGACCTGACCAAAAAACGGAGATATTTTCCGTGCCTTCCTACGGAAAAATTTGCAACCCCAAGGAAGTCTGTGGATTTCCGTGGAAGTTTGAGCGTCTTTGGAAATGAACACCACCCCATAGGACAGTTTCACAGCTAAAGTAAAACTACATACGGGGGTTTGTGGAACTAGGCGGATGCTCACATTCAAATTAACATTTGGATTCGTTGGGCTAGGTAACCTGTAACAGGCAGATCTCACCTTCAGCTAGTGAACTGGATAGTTGGCACCCTGTGCGAGGTTATTCAAGGAGCAAACCACCCTCAGAATGATCACCTACCACTTGCCTGTAATTGCTTCATATACAATGAGCATGATGGTTTCACATCTTCGTCCTGGCAGCATGCAAAATCTTCACCATGCATAGTGCTCATCAGTTCTTCAATTACGTCACTAATTGACTGCAGCAAGGGTTGGAATATACTGATGCACATAGAATTCAGACGTGTTTCCAAAGTGGCGAAGATGGCCTCCAGAGGTGAGCTGCCGTGTTCGGATCTGGCCGATTGCATTACGGGGAGATTACGCAACCGCCTGGTGCAGGTCCAACCGAGCTGCGTGCCAAATGAACACAGAAGGTTGATCAGGTTAATGTTGTTCTGCTGGCTGATGGTTTGTGGATTCATGACCTGATTGGCATCTGGACCGACAGCGACCAAGGACTCCACTTTTGTTGCGAATAAGGCTACCACCTTGCTTATATTGCGTGATACCTTCGAAATGAAATAGAACGAAGAGGGCAGAAGGGAAGGAAAACACAAGCAACGAAGAATGGTAGAGTTACGATAAGTGTTCAGGCTGGAAGATTTTGTTTCTCAGTGTACGCCGAGTATTTTTTGGGGTAAAAAGCAAGACGTTGCCCGGCAGTAAGCCTAACAATTATTTTCCAAATTGCTCCGAAGCGACGACTTTCCGATACAGTACAATTAAGACCGTGATCGGGTTGTGACACAAAGTAGAATGGAAATAGTGACCTCTTCTGAGAATAGCTCACTTCGTTCGAAACGGTCGGGTCAATTTCTGGTTTCTTTATCTTCATCTGAGGTCAAATTTAGGCCACTTAAACAGACGGAACACGCGTTCACAGAACGGTTATTGGTACACGAGTGGCTCAGCTGTGAATGGCTGCAAAGTTACATTGCGCCGAGTTCCCTAAAAACACTCTTGTTACTTAACAACGGTAGTTTAGCAATGGTATATTTTTTGGCGCATACCAGATGACAGCGACCAAAAAACTCACCTTACATAGGAGGTCGTAATGCACTGTAGCGTAAGCAAGCTCGTTTCCAGCACTCTGCACGATTCCATCCAGTTCCTGTGCGTCTAGACCAACAGAACTGTGGCTTGTCGAGAAGGCCATACTGACTTGGTCGAACAACCTAGACAAACTTTTCGATAGATAGGCAGTTTCGAAAGGTTTGACTGCTTCCAGCAGGCAGGCTGGAACGACATCCGCCCCGAATACACCAACAGTTGGACAAGATGAGTCATTCCAACTGCCATGAAGTTGCGTTTGACGGACACGACGGCCCAAATCGATGACCAATTTCAACAATTTTGGGTATTCACAGTCCAACGCTTCCTTCACTTGCGGCGATTGTTCAGATATCTTCAGCAGTCGTTCAGATAGTCGACCAGCGGCCCAACCGAGAAATCCCTTGTTCACACGCAACTGGGCCTCCAGTTCGGCAATACGTTCACAAGGGACCATATGGTCCTCGTCGCTCAAGGTTTCCGCTGACAATGGAATGGAAAAACATCCTATTCATAGAAGGCAACCAAAGGCACCCAAAAGGTATGTGACTGAGAATTACTCAAGAAAAGTTCAAGTGATTAACGAGTGTTTTAGATTTGTCCAAACAGTGGGGGCAGCAACCGCTCATTCGTGTTTAGAATATATCTTAAATTCGTTGAATTGTGCAAAGTATTTTTTGGCCGCAAGTTCCAGGAGTTGGAAAAAAAGACATAAAAGACTGGTTACGGGTGCTTTTGATAGTAAAAAAAGCTCAAAGTGATGAGCAAGAACACATGTCGGTATGAACTAGAAACAAGAACAGGATACTATTATTGACTATCCAACACAATTCACACACGTGAGATGAAAACGGGCAAACAGAACGACTACCTGACATACGAGATTTGAATTGAAGCGTTTCAACATTCGTCGAAGCGAACAGTAATACAATGGTGTTGCGCAGGGCCACTTTATCTGGTCCATGCCAATTAATGACCAGATCGTGAAGCAGCAACTCCGCCAAACTCGGATGAGGTTCAGTCGATTCACTCAGCCGCACAATCGTGGAGCAGTTAACGCTAGACTCGCGTTTTTTCAACAAGGTTACTCCCAATAAGCGGCAGTGATAGGTGAGGCGCTCCAACTTATCCATTATTCCATCCAGGCTGGTCCAAATGGCAACGTAGAATGCAGCGGCCTGACTACCAACGTTCGGAAGAGAGGCTCGACCTGGGTGAGGAAATGGAGAATGTACTTTCCAATGGAAACTGACTACACAGACGAATTCAGACAGACCGAGAAATGAACTAGCTGACTAGCCCACCAACAAACGGATAAAGTGGAAGAGAGCAAAACATAGAACCACCCAACCTAACATCAATCGAGATTGGAAGTCAGCTACGGCTAGCGGCAAGTAAATTAACACACACACTACTCAACGTACAACCACTGACCAATCGCTACACCCCACTACGCTTCCTAAAAACGCACGGATGATGTCGCCTAGATTGGCGATGGAACGCTGGGCTATTTGATTGTCCAGCTCAGCGAACAACCTACAGCAGCTGAACCACCAACATTATTCTCATTAGTAAGCAACACGATACTTGGAAGGATGCTTTGGTTCCACAATACTGGTCCAGCTGATAGCGTAGATAGACTTATGTCTCCACGATAACACATGATATATAAGTTACCGGGTGACTGTGATCATTGGTGGCAGCAGTTTAAATAGTGCGTCCAAATTAACCATTTTCGCAAAGGAAACAGTCTCCCATCTCCTACCGAGAAAAGCAAGTTCCTGTGATCTTAAGAGACCTACCTGGGAAATGATAATTCCTTATTCAGGAAGCACTCGAGTCACCTCATCAAGAATGACCTCTTTCTGATGTTTCCCAGGTCCACTGTTGTATCACATTACGACACCTTCACATAGGTGGCACTCAATCGGCAGTTGCAAGTCTCACCGAATGGGCTGAATGCATATGGTTAAAGGGAAAGTTGCCGCAAAACTAGCAAGGTGCTTTCATAGAATGACAATGGTGCCACCGATCCCAGCCTTCAAGCCGCTTAGATTAGCTCCAAGCCTAATGCATATAGATAGCCGGAAAAGTACAAATCGTACCAACACGGTCAGCATCCGAATGATTCTAGCTCCAAACACGGATAATACTGTAAACATAGCAAAAGTACAACGCACAGGAAGCCCCACCGAACCTACCCGGTCCGGCTGCCACAGGGCCACCGGGACTTCCGGCTTGTCGACTGCGTACCCGCTGAGTGAGCCTGTCCACGTCCACAGCTGAAGCCAGAATCGAGTCGAACTCTGTTTGCCACCGCTCAACCAACTGGCATACGACGCTAGGAAGCATACCCAGGTTGTGAAAAACCTTAACGGAATGGAAAGTTGGCACGAAATCATTTAGTTCATTGTCCACATATGGCTGACAATTAACCCAGAACAAAATGGAAACAACGAGAGCTCGTAACGGTTTCGAAAACACCTATTAAAGACATGGATTAAATGGCTAGTGTATCAATTTCAATCTTGTTTGATTTTCAAAGAGACGGCAAACTGAATAGCTGAGGTGAAACTGCAATCTGAGCAGAGATAACAGGCCGGAGGTTGTATAAAGTCCTGAAAGGAAAATTCGCTAAAAGGAACACCTTCCCCTGTGAGAAAATCATAATGATTGGGAGGCTTCTGATTGGGAGAAGTCTGTTGGGAAGAAGTGCTCCAAAGGCGGTGATATACATCTCGCTCCGGGAAGAGGAGATCCTTAAAATTCGGGACAAGGAAACGAAAACTTCATCAAACCTACCACAACAATGAAGACTGTCATAGCGTCCCTCCTGTGGTCATTAACTCCTAGCTTTACTGTACCTATGCACAGCTGATGACTGGCACTACACCTACTAGAAGCTCTGTTGCTACAGTCAAATTACATTGACAGCCCCGGTCATTGCAATTGGACTAATGGGATGCAGGTTCAGGAACAGGGTGAGTAAGCGTGTACGTGCGGACATTCATCAGACCCGGTAACCTTGGTATAGCCTACGATCTGGCGGTCTGTCAGCCTAATTTACTTGCAGCAACAGCATTGCGATATTGTGACTTCAACTGTCACTCTTTCTAATAACGGTTATGTTGGTAGTGACGAGTCCAGTGCAATCAAAGAAAGCGGCCTGTTTGCCTTAGTTAGCCATTTCATAATGAACCAACAGATCACTGCCTCGACATGAAAGTTTCCGACTTTGAAATCACAGTAACCGAATTCGATCATCATCATCATCAACGACAGCATGACATCAGTGCTCAACACCAATGCTTCACTGCCGTACAGCCATGACTTATTTGAAAGCCTTATTGTAAAGAAAAGAATAAAGGTGGATGGGGGGGACTTAGTGCTAGCTTAACACAATCATTCCGAGGTGCCTACACCTCCAGACATTCATTCACGCAATCTGGACAGAAACTGACAACAAGAACGCCACTGACATCGGTTGGCAGCCATATCTTGTAGTGTCTCCAACCAGGCACAGTGAGGATCACGCGGTCCCCATCCTGGAAGGCGAGTAGAACCCAAGCGTTTCTTGATCTCCTTCATACTCCTCTGACAAGTCAAGGGTTGGCCACCTCTCTGTTTACGCCACTCCGAATTGGGTATGGAAAATAGTACTCTTTTCGGTAAACGATGATTCGGCATGCGTAAAACATGTCCCAACCAACACAGCTTCTGGTGCTGGACACATTCTTCAATGGAAGTACCCGTTACACAACCGAAAACACGCTTTCTAACCGCCTCGTTACGGATTCGCTGACACCAACCCACACGAGCTATGGATCTCAGACAACGATTGTCGAACACCTGAAGACGTCTCAGGTCCGCTGCTCGAATAGGCCAAATCTCACAGCCATACAACAAAACAGCCCGTACTGTAGCTTGATACACACGCCCCTTCAGATTCAGGGATAAACCATTCTGACGCCATAGGTGTCTCAAGTTAGAAAACGCGGCCCGAGCCTTGCAGATTCGTGCATTCACCTCATCCGTCACACTACAGTCAGAACTAATACAACTACCAAGATGCGTAAAACACTCCACAACTTCCAGTACTTCTCCCTGGATTGTAAGTGGCGTGTTCAGTGACTGTACGTCCACAAGCATGACCTTACACTTTGTGGGTGCAAAGTGCATACCAAAGGACGGGATGACTTTGGTCAGTTCATCCA